CTCCATTTAAAAACAAAATGTATTTTCATTTGTTATTATTTTTATATTTGCCACACAATTGTTTTTGAAGCAAAACATAACAGACGCAAAATAAAAAGTCTGCCAAAAGTTAATTTTATAATTTTATTATTTTGTTGGCTAATACCTCATAGCCACAGTAAGCTATGAGAGTGAGGCATGGACGCTGACGCAAAAGTCGGTAGAAAGCGCGAATGTCGTCGAAAGAAGGATCTTGAGGAGAATATTTGGGCCACTTCAGGAGAACGATGGATGGAGATTAAGATACAACCATGAGTTGCATGAGATTTATAAAGACTAGCCACTGGCACAGTTTGTCAGACTCTAACGCCTAAGATGGGCTGGCCACGTGATCAGAATGGGCGAAGAGAGAGTGCCGGGACGACTGATCGGTAGAAGAATGGAGGAAGTGAGACAGAGCGGATGGCCGAGATTAAGATGGGAGGACGCAGTTGACCGGAACGCTAGGGAAACGATCGGGAGTAGGACTTGGATGAGAGAGGCCAGGGACAGGGATGAATGGAGGCAGAAGCTGATGGAGGCCAAGGCCAAGGCTCCATACGGGCTGAAAAGCCATAAAATGGCCATAAATGAACGAATGAATGTTTCAAAGCTAATCCTAATTTGTGACAATTTTCTAACATTAACGTTAAGTAGGAAAAATTAATTTGTTGAAAAATCTTTATAAATTTTTCACTAATTATTAATAAGAGTATACTGGTTTCAGATTTGCAATATGACTTCTAATTTCTCAGATACAATGTTTTTGTGTTAACTTTAAAAATTTGGGAATAATCGATTTACTTTGAAACTTATAATTGGTAGATGTCTATAAAAATACAGTATTAAAACTTTTGTGAAATCTATAAAAAAAGTTAGTTTTTTAGATCATATAATCAATAATCCAGAGACTTCCAAAACTTCGTTTCGCTTTCATAGTTTGCTGTATCCATCCCGTATTACTCCTCTCTTTATTTTATAAGAAACTTTTATAATACTCTCCACCAATCCAACTACAACTTCCCCAATAACAACTCTTAAATAAGTTCTTAATGTGAAACGAAGTATTCTTATTGTTAATAATATACTCACATTGTCGTCGGATGCGATGTTTTTCGTTTTCCTCGGAATTCACAGCAGAATACACGAATTCCAAACATCAAAACAGCGTACACGCGTGCAAACTCTTTGTCATCTTTTTACGAGAACAAACGCCTCTTGTACTTTATTGTTTACGTGATATTACCTTTTCCAATAACTACGTATATTCGCTGAAACGCTTTCCGTTTGTTGCACCAACGTCTTTGCTATTTTGTTTTTCTAGTATTCGTTATCCGATATATTCGGATTCCAGATAGCGCTACACGTTTTGATTTAAACTAACCGATATACGAAGTTATCTTTTATTTTATTTTTATTTCTCGTTATACGATACGTGTTATTGATTCTTTTTTGTGTAATATGGAAAAGAAACGTTGACATAGTTCCAACAAAATGTGTTAATTTAGCGAACATCCCTACAACATTTTAGCTGCTTGTTATTCCGGGTGCTTTTCGAAAACGAGAACAAACTGTAAACGATCGGTACGTGTTGTATTTTGAAGTACTTACGAAAGCATAATATTTCGACGGTGTACTTTTGTTTCGCACCGTCATAAAAGTCGCCGAATTTCGTTGCTCTTACACAGTCTTATTACACAATACGAGAGAACAAAACTAAATCAAAATTATTACACAACAAATTTTTAATCGCATTTACACCTGTTTCTTCAACAGTTAAATGTTCTCCGGTAGATTTAACGGGGTATGGAGTAAAATTGCGGTAGTAATTGACTTTAAAACCATTAATTAACTATAAGGGTGTTACATGCAATTTCAGTGACCTTAATAGGAGCAGTTAAAGTTGACTGTTTACCGTCGAGACGTTGCAGATGTGGAAGCTAAAAGTGTTTTTGTTGTCTTCTATAATTGTGTCCATTGTACTATATAGAGGATAACTATTTCTCTATTGTTGGTTAAATGAAAATGTTTTAAAGCTATTGAAATAAAACGAGAATTTAATAATAAAATGTGTAAACCGATTTAATGGATTTAATGGGCTCAATCTGCTAAGACAAACACTCAACGTACACATCTTGGCTAATGCGAATATATCGCAAACAATCAAATATTGTTACCCTCGGTCATATATTGAGATTAACATCATCAGCAGGGGATACACCGAGAGCCGGGAGAAAGCTCACACCAACCACTTACTGATATTATCAATTTAATATTAAAGGCTCACGTTAAGCTTATCGATTGGTATAGTGTTCCGTGATCCGGGTAAATTATTTTGCGTTGAAAATTAACCTCACCACATGACTCCCAGAGATTTATTTTGCTTAATTGCCGTTCGAGGTTAAATAGGTATTAACTAAGCGGGGTTTCGATCCAGGTGTAAAGGAGAGAACAAAGTCGTAACTTGCGTACCTAACACAGATATAATCGAATAATAGCGCCACTTTTAAACCCTCACATTATAGGCAACTTTTGAATGCAATACGATAAACTACTTCTCCCCCGGAGTCGGGGAAGAAGAGTTTGTGAATTCCGTACCCGTTTCCCGGAGTTAAAACGATCATAACACCGCTTGCAACTTCCAAAATGTACGTGGGCTATTTCAAAATAGGGTGTTACTCACCGGAAATACACAAAATAGGGTAATGTACATACGTGGAATAATTATGGTTTTCATCTTGAGGAAATTATAAATTAATAAAATAGGATTTAGAATACAGAAGCAATAAATCGTTATTGTATAGACTATTACCAAGGAATATTATAAACTATTGTTTCGACCAGTTCTCTTATTGTTCCCACGCGACGGTTTGAGGTAGATCACCTAGTTTATCACAATGGCACAGCGCTCGGGGAACAATTACTCCCGAAAATTTTGACCGAACCCCACGACTCTTTTGGACCGGTCGCTATCTGGCGCTCGTTTTTGCTCGCGTTTCCAGGTAGTCGTTCCAAAAAAAGATCACACAAAACTCTGAATGTCCATGACACACGGCTGTTTTATCGTTTGTTATAACGTCATTTGAACAGTAAATAACTGTCGCGAATTTGCTTGCTGTTTCAACTGTGTATTCAGGCGAATCGTTAATTCTTTGTGTACAAATTAAACACAAAAAAAATTATTAACAACCAAAATGTTACATCAAGTCTACTTTAAAAGATTTAAATTATCTTTGCGTCACGTCACGTCTTCCCCATGTTCTATCCAATCAATTTTGTACAGAGTTAAATCTTCATCAAGATTGCATCAAAGCTGTATTTAGAAGTGGTAAAGATTGCACCAAATTTTCATCCTAGGACTTCCCCCGCGGAACTGTAAGACTTTGACGGTTAGTGGGAGAGCTTCGTTCTCTACACTGAATGCTGGCTGACGAGAGAGTTAATATAAGAGTGCCACCAATAAGGGTTTATAACCCCAAGCTGATGTGTTCTAAGCTACTGATATGTGAGCAGCACAATTATCAAAATCGACCAGATCTTAATATCTAAAGGGGGGGCTTCTTCTACATATAAACGATGTGAGAATTTATCGAAGTGCCAACTGTAATAAAAAAACTAAAACAACAACAAAAATAGAAAGTGGGAGTATTAAGGGACGATGACAAAAGGAAATGATTTAGACAAAGAGTAGAGGAATTTTTATAACTGAATGAATAAGAAGATGGAATAGAAAATGAATGGGAAACACTAAGAAAAACCATGAATTCAGCTGCTCAAGACACTACGAGTCGATGATGACTGTAGAAAGATAATGAAAAGAAAAAATGCTGCACAAAGAAAATGTCTATACAGGGTGTCCCGCAACGATTGTACAAAACTGCATCAGCGTATTCTATGATCAAAAATAAACAAAAAAAGCCTAATAAACATAGGTCCGAAAATGGACCATTTTCGAGATATTCAAAGATTTAGTTTCATAAGTTGATATTGTTAACATCATGAATTTAAATTTGTTTTTATAATAATTAAGTCGTTACTATGATTACGATAAGTTATCTAATCAAAAAAAAATAATAATACTTCACGAAATTATTATTTTACTATTTAATTTAATAAAGCTATTAAGTATAATTACTCCAAGGAAGAGATGGCGGATATGGTGTATTGTTACGGACTAGCTGATGGAAATGCGTCGTTAGCAGCTCGTCATTACGCGCAAAGGTTCCCGAACAGACGATTGCCTAATAGTCACACCTTTAGCAGACTATATCTCAGATTAAAAGAAACGGGAAGCGTAACCCAAAGCCATTCCACGGACAGACATTACACAAGGACGGTGGAATTAGAAGAAGCAGTTTTGAGAAGGGTCGATGAAAATGCCTCAACCAGCATTAGAAGAATTTCTGCACAAGAAAACATTAACAAAACAACCGTTCACCGCATTTTAATGTTGCTTTATCCTTATCATTACAACACCGTTCAAGCTCTAACAGAAAATGATGGCGAAAAAAGAGAGATTTTTTGTAGGTGGGCCATACAGGAAGAGGTAGTAAACGTCGACTTTCCCATAAACATTGTATTTACGGATGAAGCAACATTTACTCAAAGCGGAATTTTTNCAAAATTATATGCGCTTTCCTTTATTTTTATTTGAACCTATAGTGATAAATTATTGTCATCAAAAGCAAAGCTTATTGAAATTGGGTTGGTAATTATCTAAAAATGGAAAAATGAAACAACAATATTTAATAGGTAATTAATAATTTTGTTAGTATTTTTTATGTAGTAAAAAAGTAATTAATATACTGTATTTTTTTAATAAGACGAAAATGAAGTCGCATCTCGCTCTTCTTCATCTGACTCTTCGTCACCTTCGCTAGTTTCATCTTTGTCATCCGCATCCCATGGAAGTAACATTTTAATTGTCTCCGGCCTGAACGGTTTTGACGGATTTAGGTCTACTGCAGCTTTTCAAAGGCGATTCATGACATCCAGGTTGCACTGGACCCGGCAAAATTTACGTGATATTTTTCCCTGTACTGACGGAAATGTTTATTTCTGCTCTCTGCCGCCTCTTCTGATAGAGCTCCTATAGGCAACAGTGCTTTTTCTAGTACTGTTGGACCATGTATCAAAATTTTATGGAGGGTTGGTGACATGAGGTACCAGTAATACAACTGGATGTAGAGCTTAGCCGTATATCGACAGTACTCTGAAAATTTATTTACGTCAATTTTATGACCACTGGATATTACTTCCAGAATTGTAGCCAATCTTTCAATGAGGGTTTGGTCAATTCCTGTTATACTTGCCGAGGTTTCTACGTTAGAGAAGAATCTTCTGCTGGTATTTCCATCGTTGCTGTTGCCGTAGTTGGCTTTAGGTACGTCAACGATTAGGCCAAGTTCTTTTCTAAACTTTTCTTGAATAATTTGCTTCCGTTCTTTTATAATATTCTTTTCTGATTCTGTTCTTGTTTGCCACTTTTTTATTGTAATTTTATACGAAATATGCAGTAATGTTTCGAAGAATCTTATTCGTGCATGTAAAATCGACAATCCAAACTCCAAGTTTTCTGAGTTTATAGGTGCTTTTTCAGATTTTTCCAAATCATTGAAATCTTTTGACGTAAGCGTACATATGTAACATCGCATGGTCGAGCCTGTATTGGTAGCGGCATTACAGACTTTACCATCTACCATGGTAAATAACATTTTATGGTTGACCGTCACTTCTTTGTCTCCGATATTATTTTCGGTTGTACTTAAATGTTTTATCTGCTCTTTGTGATAATTAATTTCCTCATTTGTCACATCTTTCGATTCCCTGATAAATCTGATTCTCATTGGTCGGCAAAAACGTGGTGAGGAGGGCGTTGGGTTTTGCCAAATTACTTTCTTATTTTTCTTACAAATAAGCTGAAGAGGTACTAGTGACGACTGGAAAATGTTGGAATCGGAATCGCTGCTATTTGAAAATGTTTGTTTGAATTGTGCTTGTTGAGAGCCATCACAACCCCATTTATACGTCAGCTCCAAGGATGCCAATTCTTTTCGTGTGAGAGATATCAAAACTTCTTCTAGGTAAATAATAAATCGCTTTGCAGTATGATCTGCTAATGCTTGTAATTTAATTTCCGCACACGTTTCAGTAACACGATAAGCATTCGAGTCTGGATAACAATCTTGTTTTGCTCTCTGTAGAAGTGAATAAGAGGGATATAGTTTTCTTGAGCTTTCTCTAATAATTTCATATTGTTTTCGTGTCAATGAAGCTTCTACAAACATAGATAACGCTTGTGTTGGTGTTAACTTTTCGGGCTCAGACGTCTCACTCTTTCTAAAAGCTTTCTTATATTTATTACCACGTGACGGCGATGACATGATGTCCTTTACCACTTGTGCTCCACTCACATTTCCAAATTTTCGAAGAGCCATTTGACCAGCAAACAAGAGAGCTTCAGCTTCATTCTCCTTCCTCAAAAATGTTGTTTTGCGGCGTTTACTGCAATCGCTTAAATCTTCAAAAGCGCTTTCCGGACGACCACCTATATTCGACATACATTTCTGCGTTATTTTAACAGTCCCTTGCAACCAATTACGATTTTTTTCTAAGAACGCTTTTTCTGTACGATTAGCAGCTTGCCATTTAGTTTTCATCTCAGATTTAACTCGCGAAAATGTTCGCAAAAATTGTTGCTTTTCCTTATCCGCGAACGTTCGCCGTTTTATGATGTTTCTTTCCACTATATCCAATTTCTTCGCAAAATCTCTTCCATTACATTGTTTTGTAAGATTATATATGCCTTCTCGAGTCATGACATTGAAACCAACATAATCTAAAACGAGGAACAGCTTAGAATAGTAAAGGGCGTACCAAAAATAAGTATGTCTTGCCTACATACTACTAGTTTAATTTATTTTTTTTTAATATTTTAGGCAGTTTCTGGCAGTAGTTGTTTATAGTATAGTAGAGTAAATTCTTCAAACAAAAAAATGTGAAAAAAAATAAAATCGGGAAGAGCCTGGAAATAAAACAAAAACTCTTCGTAATATAGAAGAAAAACAAAAATAAATACTAAACATGCGCAAATAGAATAAATAAAAAATAACTAAGACTATAGAATTAAACTTGAAAAAAATACTTGATTCTATTTATACATACCTGGGTCTGTAACATCCATTACAAAAATTTTCACTGCTCACTGTACAATACACAGAAGCACCTTTAAATGTATGCCGTCGATTTAATATAATAATTTGGCGAAATACATGCATACACCAAAGAGCGCAAATGACAACTGATTACGCAGTGTAGAGGAACCGGACACCAATAAAGAATGCGGAAAATTGTTTCCTAAACACTTGGTCACGTTAAGTGACAGCAGCCGCTTTGATTTCTGTGAATCTTTATTTCCGACTTTTAATCATGTTTCTATGTGAAATACCCCACTGTGCAGCGTCTACTTTTAATTGCAACTTGGTAAATCTATCTTGGCCGTTGTTCAGTTGCGCTTAAGAACTCGTGACATCGACGACCGTAGGTATAGCGCTCGCCAAAAGCTTAGTACATACATCATAATATTCTCAAGAAGCTTCTCAGAAATACAGATCAGGTTAAATTGTAGATGCTTTGACTAATTAAGGCGAAGTTGCTTGCGACCGACGGTCAGTGATTGCAGTATTATTATTATTTATTCAATCAGGTACAAACAGCGTACAATACATCGTCACAAAACAAAAAAAAAAAAAATAAAAATCAAAAATTAAAAAAAAATTCATTAATAGAATAAAATTCTCCTTCCTGTAAAATTTCTTTCACCGTTGCTCTGAACATTCTGGAATTCATTTCTCTTATCTCCAATGGTAATGCATTACCCATATAATTTCACCGCTATAAAAATTGAAAGATTTTGGTGTTCTTGTTGTCCGATGGTACGGAATCGCGAAATCTCCTCTATGACGTGTACTTTAACCATGCTTGTCCGAATTTATGGAAAATTCTACTCGATATTTATGAACGTGTTTAACACAAGCAAGTATAAAACACGATGATAAAGTCATAATCTTTAATTCCTTGAATCGCGTTCTGCAACTGTCTCGTTGGGCCATTTTGAATAGGATTCGTATCGCCTTCTTTTGTAGTTTGATAATTTTCTCTGATTCAGCTAAAACACCCCATACCATTATACCGTATGTCGCAATGTTGTGCAAATACGCAAAGTAGACATTTCATGCTTCTTTCAAAGGCAAGCTTTTAACAATAACTTTTAAACAGTACAAAAAAAACAGCCAATCGTTGTTTTAGTTTTGTTACATGATCCGACCAAGTGAGAGTTTCATTCAGTGTAACTCCCAGAAATTTTATGATTAGATTTATTAACATTATATCAACCTAAAACTAGTCACCATATTGTGGGGCTTCGGCTTTATCAAGTGGATTTGCAGATGATTTGATGATGACTGATTAATCCAAGGTCCCTTGCGGCCGACACTGAATGACGGCCTCTACTTTATCATTTTAGATTGGAGATCTTTTGACTAATTAATCTATAGTCCTAAAATAATGTTCATATGAAACAAGAAGAAAAAAATATTGAATTCAATTGACATATTAAAATTTCATACTTATAATTAATATAAAAAATTATTTAGCTTTAGTCCAAAACAAATTTATAAATCCAACTTTGTTATGCTTTTAACGTTGTTTCTAAATATTTATGTCAATTATTAATTTATGAGCTCACCATTTTTACTCTTTTTATTCTAACGCCTTTTAATATTTTACATAAATGATGGGAAACGGTTTTCAAGTATTAATTTAATCATGAAAATTCACATTTCTTTCAAAACACAAATTCATTAAACAAACCTATAATTTATATACACCGAATTGAATTCCGAAAGTTTATTAATATATAATACGTATAGATATCTAGTTTCGCCGCGATAACACCGTTTGTTATGAATTAACCAGTACGATTTGCGCGCGCAATTACATGGTTTAATAAATGATCCGATTTACAAACTATTCGTTTATTTTCTGTCAATCAGTCAACCGCACAAAATTGGTGCTACCAATTTCATTATATTGTTATAACATGTGCTCGATCAAAACAGAACGATGTTTTTTTATTTAATAATAACAGGCGTTGAAATAAAACGTGAAATAGACGGAAAAAATGAAATAAAAAAAATAAACAACTAAAATTCGGTAAAATAACATTCCATTAAATACCCATCCGTTATTTACAACAAATAAAAAAAATGATTATTTAAATTTTTTTAATAAAACGATATTAAATTCTTATTGAGTACGATGTGATGAAATAAAATACATCGGAATCCTGATCGACATTGATTAACTTTGGCGCGATCAGTATTCTTTTGAGCTTCCCTATCGCGATCGCTCAATTTGGGCCAACGCCGCTGTTTAATTCGGAAGCCCTTCTGTCGCTCCGTCATTGTGGAGAACGACCGGGAGGATTTTAATAAAAACACCCCGACCTGTTCCTGAATAACTTTTTAAATTTCCCAGTTTGAAGAGGGTCTCAGCTTGATGACAACTCCTGCTGCATCTACATCATAAAACGCGTCACGCGTATATGAACTACTTGTATATTGCTTTTTTAACTTGTAGATTTTTAGCGAGCCGTGAAATCTCTATTATATCTGATCAATATAGCGCCTTAGGGATTTTTAATAAATTACTTATTCAATCAATCAATCAATCATTTATTTCAATAAACTACAGTAGTACAACACATTCGTCAGAACAAAATTGCAAAAATTCAGTAAAAAATGTTTAGTCTTTTAAAATACAACTGTCCCTATGTTGCAGCACTGCCAATATCTTCACCGCTTTTTTCTGTGGTTTCCATTTCACTAGAACTTCCCCATGCTATTAGTCCATACGTTGCTATACTATGCAAATAAGCGAAATAAATGTTTCTCGCATCAATGTAAGGTATGTAGTTTATTACAATTTTTAGGCAATATAATGAAGTAGTAACTTTTCTTTTTAGAGTAGTGATAGGATCACTCCAAGGAGAGTTTCTGAAAAGAAAATTCAAAGTAAGTCTGATTGGTTATTATCCCGTTTGCTAAAGAATGTAAGCATCTTTGTTTTATGTGGATTTAACTTCAAATTATTACTGAGACTGTTTTCTGTTTTAGTTTCCGTGAGTCTCTAGACCTATTTATAAAAGACATATCATCAGCGTATAGACATATTGAAAGTGCATCCATATTTAGAGCCATATCATTAATGTACATCAAAAATGAAAGTGGTCCAAGCACAGAACCTTGAGGAACACCAAGAGCAATTTCCTTCCATGTCGATAGTCGATACTGATCCTCCACGATATAATTACAGTGAAAGCTCTAATAAGCGGACAGTGACGGTTCCGTTACTTTTGTCCGCTTATCAGAGATGTCCGCTTATGAGAAAAGACTACTCAAATTAAAGTACATACACATATATGTATTATTTTGATCAGTTTTCGAAAATTTCGCTTTAATAAAACAAACTTTTTTTTATATTTTAATTTTTTTTTATTAAAAACGAACGTTCATACATAAAAAAGGTAAACTTAAAACTAAAACTATTTATTTTTCGTTTGAATAAAATCTAGCATACTGCTTTGCCGCAATGAAGTTTCTCTTTGTAATAAGAGAGAACGTTCAATATGTGTTTCTAAATTTTTCACATGTTGAAATGCAGTAAAATCATTTTTCACGAATGATTTTAGTTTGGAAATTACATTCAATGCTTCTTTATAAGATGTGATTGGATTACGTTCCTCGTCCTCCTCCACCTCTACCTCTTCATTCTCTTCCTCTTCTGTCTCATTTTCAACATTTTTTGTGACTACCGAAAATTCCAAGTCATTATCTTCTATATCGACGTTTTGATCAACAGTTAAATATTCTTCTGCTGTTTTTACATTATCTATTCCCAGTCTTTTACTACATTTAAACAAATCAGCTAGTCTCGCAAGTGGCAAATTATCTTCAACATCGTAGTTACTGTCAGTTGAACTTCCTTGATCCATCAGAAATCCAGCTTTTTTAAAACAATTTCTAATTGTCTTTGGAGTGACCTTCTGCCACGCAGATTTTATAAAGTACAAGCTCTCTAATATGTCAATAGATTTTGATAATTTAGAAGCCGATTCTGCGAAATCTATTTTTGATAATAGGTGACTCACTATTAAATCGCGATAATAAAATTTAAAATTGCGTATGATACCCTGATCTAACGGCTGGCAGACAGATGTTGCATTAGGAAGTAAAAAAATAATTTTTATATTTTTTAATTTTAAGTCATGTGGATGTGAAGTGGCATTATCAAGAAATAAAATGATTTTTCTTTTTTTTATACCCATGTTTTTATCGAAATTACTTAACCACTCCGTCATAATGTCTCGTGTCATCCATGCTTTTTTGTTTGATTTCCAGATAGCCGGTAAATCCTTGGGAGCAACATTTTTTAATGCTCGGGGACGTGCCGACTTTCCAATAACTAGCAACTCCTCTTTTTCACCTACACTATTTACACAGAACAAAACGGTTAATCGTTCTTTGGACAGTTTTCCTCCTGTGCATTTTTCCGACTTTAAAGCTAAAGTTTTATTTGGTAATGCACGAAAAAAGAGCCCACTTTCATCTGCGTTGAAAATGTCCTCTGGTCGATAGCCTAGTAAGAAGGTCGGTAATTTTTTCATAAATTCATTAATGCCCTCTTCATTTACATCTGCTGCTTCTCCGGAGATACACTTAAATGCAACATTATTTCTCAAACGCCACTTTTGTAACCACCCATCAGACGCTTTAAAGGTACTCACTCCTAATTTTTCTGCAATTTCTTTTGCTTTTTTCTTTACGAATGATCCTGATACGGCAATATTTTGATTTTTAGCTTTCACAAACCATTCGAAACAGGCTTTGTCGATCTTTGAACCCTCACTACTCAAAAAGTTTTTCTTCGTTTTTACACTGACTCCAGACTGCCATTTCTTTCGAATCTTTTCTTTATCTTTGATTATTTTTGCCGCTTGTGTTTTCCCGATTTTAAATTTTTTAGCAATATCACGAACTGACAACTTTTCTTTATCTAATAAACACACTATTTCCATTTTCTCCTTTAACATAAGCATCTTTTTCTTTACCACCTTGGAAGCCATTTCAACGCACGTTACACCGAAACGAACAAACTAATAATAACTATGTACTAATGTTTTGGGATTCGTTAACAAGCGGAACTCGTAAAACGAGGAATCCCCGAACACATGTCGGTAAATATCTATTACAGATTACTTTGATGTGTGCGTTTAGTTACCTACGCGTCCGTTTATTAGAAATTTTTGCCCGTTATGTAAAGAAAAATAGTGTCCGCGTCCGTTTATTAGAGCGTCCGTTTATGGAAAATAAATATGTACATGAAAATATAGGTTTGGGGTTGGTTCCAAGATTTTTGTCCGCTTATAAGAGATGTCCGCTTATTAGAGCTGTCCGCAAGGAGAGCTTTCACTGTAGTTCTAAAACCGTAGAGCATATACCGTAATTGTCTAATATTCTTAATAATATTCCATGGCAGTATCAAACGCTTTACTTAAGCAACAGAATGCAATCTGGGTATGTTCGCGCTGATCCAATCCTTTTGTTATTTCTTCTAAAATTCCAAGAATTGCAGTTATTGTCGATTTCCCGGGTTGACACCCATGTTGATGGGCTGTTTTGTAATTCGGAGGAGTAAAATGAAAAGTCACGTTTACACACTGTAATTTTTCAAAGCTATTTTTTGGCGGGAGTTTTAAAACCAGAGAGTATTTTAAGTAACCTGTATTACACTAAAACCTCGATATAACGGATTAATATGGGGAAGGCAATATCCGTTATAGCTCAATAAAAATATACAATAATTCAGCGCTGAATAACAAATAAAACTAGACAATACTAGCATTAGAACTAACACTAGACCTAGAACTAGAAACATTCCGTTTAGCTGTACCTCTCTTAAGACGGCTAGTAAGTGGTAAGTAGCGCTAGTTAGCATAAAATATCACTATATTGCATATTTTTATTGAACAAAAACTAGAACTAACACTAGACCTAGAACTAGAAAGTATCGGGTTTAGCCGTTTAGTTTTACACTAGCACAAGGCCTAGAACTAGAATCATTCGGGTTTAGCCATACTGAGGGACGTGCGGCTAAACCCGAATGTTTCTAGGCGGCCGGCAACATCTCGAATTTTCTTAGTGTAATTTTTGCTTAAAACTGACCAATAGGAACCCTTCTGTTTGGCGCTTCAATTTGAAAACACTCCTCCGAATTAAAAAAATAGAGCACACCTCGAGATTCATTTTGTACCCAATTTGTACCTTAATTGGAAATTAAGGTTGATTAATCTCAAATTATATTTCAAGTTAATTTTAAGTTGTTACTTGTTTAGCTTGTTGATAAAACTTTCATAAGAAATGTTTTGAATAAAAATGTAAAAAAGATTCGCGAAGACAACCTTTTTTAAACATATAAAAAACTTTTTATAGTCAACTTCTAACTAAACACAACGGAAAATACTAACAACATTACCAACTGTTGCGCGCAGTTTAACCGAGCGACCACCAAGCTATGATTTTTTATCACGGCAGCGAAAAAATACAACTGAGAACTTGCGAACAACTTTAATTAGCTACTATATCAGCGGAACGCAGCGATCGCATAACTTGCACCCGAACCTAAAAAAAACTCCTCATTGTGCGGGCCGTGTGAAATATTCAGGTTCTCATTACGGGGGCGTTTTGCATTTTTCGTAGGGCAGGTTCTGCATAAACTCGAATGGTTATGGCCGTCGTATCTTGGAATGTAATAAGTCCGCCGTTTTTTGCGATTTCTCTCATTCTTCTTTGAGTTTTTTTTCTCACGGCCGCCCGCTGTTAGAAGAAGTATTTCATTTGTACGTTTTGCGGCAAAGTAAAAAGGAATTCTCCGACAGGGAAAAATTGGGTTGACATTTCGTATAGACGATCTTTCGGGGAGAAAGGGGCTTTACTTGAAGCACGTCTCTAAAACAATCTGACCTATATCAAAGAACTTCGGCAATTATAACTTGTTGCTAATTATTTGGGATGGGGAATTCGAATTAGATACAAAGCCGTGGATAGTTTAGATGTTTATAACCATAATTAGATTCAAGAGAAATGCGCATAGTTTCGTAACAAGATTTAGTTAATTCATTTTTTTTGCTAATTAAATTGAATTGAAGGGAATTTGACGTACCCACACGTGATACGTCTTGTTAAATCTGATCGGAAAGCAAACTGGAAAATAGACGAACAAATCCCATGAACGTACTCAATTTTCCCTCGCTGACCTACAAGCATTAGTCTCGTGAGATTTGGGGAACGGATTGGCTAGGCGGCCTTAATATATTATTATTGAAGATTGAATCCAGTAACCGAAACGAATACATGAATATTTGCCTGACCTCGCTTGAAAATTTGTTTTCGAAGGCGCCACTCGACTCTAAATAATTCGACAGATTTTCCCTTCGCTTCGCACAAAGTACGGGGACGTTCTAACTATCTCTCTGCTTATACGATATGTTCAAGGTAACTTTAGTGGTTTATTGGAAAAACACAACCATCTAATTTGCAATTAAAATCGATTGAGCTTGTATGTTAACCCATTTGCACCACAAAATCAAATATGCGCGGATTCTTCCTGGAACGAAATAGATATTATTTACACAATTATAACCTTCTTCATTAACAAGTTCGAAGTGTTTAAAATATACAACAACTAAACGCTGAATAACAACTAAAACTGGAATTAACAATAGATCTAGAACTAGACACATTCGGGTTTAGACGTGCTTCTCTCAAGACTGCTAAACCCGGTTTCTACTGCTAGTGCTGTCTTTCTTGTGACCAAAACATCCAGGAAAGGTAACTATTTAGCAGCTTCCGTTTCCATGTTGATCATAAAGTGTTGCGAATTTGGGTGGTTTAGGGACTTCTGGAGAACTCTTTTCCATGCTACTAAATCACAACGAAAGCACAGCGTTGGGTTGGTTCCTTAACGCATCATCTTCAAGCATCTCCATGTAGAGATTTAGAGGTTTAGGCAATTCATAAATTCTTTGCAGATTCGGAGGTTACCAAGCAAGTCACGACGGGTCAACCGGAGGAAAGAAGAAATAGAAGCCGCTCTTGTGCGCATTAAATGGATGGTATTAAGGATGACCTTAACACTCTGAAGTAGATGATTCTGATGTCCAGAAGATGGTAGGAGGTTGCTAGAGACTGGGTAGAATGGAAGCGGGTCAGAATCCACAATGCATTATCGAGCCGATGATGATGATGACACTTCTTTTTCTTTTTCAGGTGAAGATCCAACTTTCCTTCCATCTCTTTAATGGTCACCCGAGATCTCTTTCTCCAGCTGGCTTTTTGATCTTTTGCTATCATGATTAGCCTAATCTCTTCCGCTCTTTAGATGTGTTCGTTTCATTTTCTTCTTCTTCCGCTAGCGAATTCCACGACATCTCTAATTCCACATTCTTTCCTTACAACCCCGGTTCTCCTTGTCTTTCCCACCTTTATTGTTTAATTCTGCTTGTATAGCACGGATCTAGAATCATTCGCGTTTGGCAGTGTGTTTGTTTCTAATTCTAGGTCAGCGTTACGTTGTTGTATAAGATTATCTCATTAGTGATGTTATCTAACCTTGAAGTTTTCCTGTTTTTCAGATTCCGAACTGTTGTTTCATTTTTTTTTTCTTCGTATTCGTATATAAAATATTCAGTTGTTCTCTTCGATATCTTTATATACTTTTTCGTCCATGTCTTCGCTTTTCGATGCTTGTTCTGTTTTCTGAAGCTGTAAGTGGTTGTGAAAAGTGTTTTTACCATTCTCTTGTGGATATTGAATGAAATTGTTTGTATGTACTCGTTAATTGGTTTCTTCCGGTTCCTTAACGTTCTCTATATCTAAAAAGAGACAATGTGGTCTAAAGCAAATAAAATTTAAAACATATAAAAAACCTCCCTTATACATATAATATAAACATACCTTTTAATCATTATGACTTCTGCGAATACTATCCTCAAATTAAAATAAGAAATCAGTCTTGAAATAGTTGATGTATAACCTGAAAAAAACGGAAGAAAGCAACAGCGAAAAGCCAGTAACAAGAACAGCTTCCCCTCCTTTTTGTTGTATGTGTTCGCACCGAGCCTACGACATAGCAGGACTTAATACAGTAGTGTAGTCTCTAAGTTCCGGCTAAAGTGTCATGAACGGCATATTGTAACATAGCGGTTTTACAAGTACGTTCAATGTAATACCCATAAAAAAAGATCTTATAATATATAAATATATATAATATGTATCTTATTGCTCTATTTTGGAAACTACAGATATTATTTGATAAAATTGTCAAATTTGACGTTTTAGTTTTAATTTTTAAACATGTATGTAAATTAAATGAACTAAAACTGATGACGAAACATTTTTTATACAATAACATTCTAAATTAATCCGAAAAACACCTCGCATGATCATATTTATTTCATCGTCAGTTTTACCAATACATGAGTGATAAAATATTTGAAAATCTAGAATTTGACGTATTAGACATCCAATTTGTAATAA